CGGCGGTTCCGAGTCATCTTGACACGCGTTGGCGATTTTCTGTACTTAACTCGAGCTGTAGGAGAGGTACAGAGCTGATACGCACAGAATACGATGAATAATCATCAGGCGCGTTCATCTGAAGCATCTAGAGGTCTGAACTCAGTCTGCTACCCAAGCTAGTTCCGCGAAACTATTCGTATTCTACCGATTTTCTTGACAGATGCTGTCGTTTTTCGGTACTAAACTCGAGCTGTAGGAGAGCTACAGAGCTGGTATGCCCTCGTAATCGATCCAGAATCATCGGGCGCGTTCGTCTGGAGCATCTAGAGGTCTGAACTCGGTCTACTACTCGAGCTAGGTCCGCGAAGCTATTCGTATTCTACAAATTTGGTTGACAGGTGCTGTCGGTTTTCTGTACTTAACTCGAACTGTAGGAGAGCTACATAGCTGGTACGCCCACGTAATCGATTCAGAATCAACGGGCGCGTTCGTCTGAAGCATCTGGAGGTCTGAACTCGGTCTACTGCTCGAGCTACGTCTGCGAAACTATTCGTATTCTACGAATTTTCTTCACAGGTGTTCTCGGTTTTCTGTACTTAACTCGAGCTGCAGGAGAGCTGCTTGCAGGTACGCCCACGTAATCGATGCAGAATCATCAGGCGCGTTCGTCTGAAGCATCTAGAGGTCTGAACTTGGTCTGCAACTCGAGCTAGGTCCGCGAAGCTATTCTACATATTTTTTTCGAGATGATGGTGAGTTTCTTGACAGAACTCGAGCTGCATCCAAGCGCCAAAGCTCTTTGGCACAGGTATGGGGAGGGAATTTTCTGACGCGCAAGTTTGAAGTATCTAGACGCTTGGGTTCGGTCTGTTCTCAGCACAGAAGCCGCGCATTTTTTTCTTTCCTGACTTAACTCGAGCTGCAGATGAGCTCCAGAGCTCTTAGGCACAGCAATCGGCAGACAATCATCCGGCGCGCTATTTGATAGTATCTAGACGCCTGGAATCTGTCTTCTATCAGCGCTCGGGCTGAACAACTATTCGTACCCTGCTAATTTCGTGGAGATGGTATTGAGTTTCTTGGTATAACTCGCGCTGCAAACGAGCTACAGAGCTGTTCAACACAGCAATCGGAGGGGATTCATCAGAGGCGCTAATTGAATGTATTTAGAAGGCTGCAATCAGACTGCTATCAGCGCTCGGGCTGAACAACTATTCGTACCCTGCTAATTTCGTGGAGATGGTATATGGCAAGGAAGCTCTACGAGTCCCCCGGCGGTAATCAAGGTTGACGGTTTACCGCCGGCGCCCAGTTTGGGCGCAGGGTGGAGCTAGTTGGCAGACCCGACCTAAAGAGACAATGCGACGACTTGGGGTCGGTTCTGCTGAGATTTGAAAGATATTTGACAATTCATTTTGATAAACCAGATTTTTCTCACTTGTAGTGGGTTATGTCGCGTCTGCCAGTCCAATTCTCAAGTCCTCAGCTGCAATATTTCCATCAGAACACTTGAGGGAACCGACTTTGGGAAATAACAAAAAACGTAATTTCTGGAGGTTCTTGGCTCATCCTTGAGAAAGCTTCTTTTATCTGTTCCGATCAGCGCCGCGCGAGAAGAGAGCTCTACGAGGCTTCCGGCGGTTTCCTGGTTGACGGTTTATCGCCGGATTCCAGTTACTCTCCCCCCCTCGTTTGTGGTGAAGCTCTACGTGTCTTCCAGCTCGCGGATGTCGAAGACAAGGTGTTCCTCAAGCACGTCGACGTGACTCGTAGAGCCTCCCTAAGAGCGTTAGCGGCGAAGAGTAATTGTGGCGCGCTCAGGGGCTAGTTGGCGAGCGAATCTCGACCTAAATTTTGCATATTTTTGTTCGGTTTACGCGAAATTCGACCCTTCGCGAGAGCATTCCCCCCCATGTTCGATCACATTTCCGCGCGCCATCCGAATGTCGGGTCGATCGGTACCTATTACTGTTGAAAAGCATGTGGGCAGGATCGGCTGTTCGGGTCATCTTGACAGTGGCTGTCGGTTTTCTGTGCTTCACTCGAGCTGTAGAAGAGCTACAACGCTGGTTGGCGTAAAGCATTCGGAATCATCAGGCGCGTTCGTCTCAAGTATCTAGATGTCTGAACTCGGTCTGCTACCAGAGCTGGGTCCGCGAAACTATTCGTACTCTGCGAATCTGTTAGCGACCACAGGGAGTTTCTTGACTTAACTCGAGCTACATATAAGCTACAGATGCGTCCGGCACAACAGTCGAAAAGGTAATCATCAGGCGCACATCGATCGAAAGAGAATCATCGGGCGCACTAGTCTAAGTATCCAGATGCCTGAACTCGGTCTGTTGCTAGAGCTGGGTCTGAAGAACTTTTCGTACTCTGCTCATTTTTTAGAGATGGTGAAGGCTTTCTTGACTGAGCTAGTGCTGGATGAGCTACGGAGCTGTTTGTCACAGCCGTCGAAAGGGAATAATCAAAAGCGTCAGTCTAAAGATAACCTTTTGGCTCAAGGTCCAAGCCATTTTGGCTCAAGCCGCATCGTGCGGACAGGTTGTTCATGCACGCGTAACGTGCATCTCTGAGTACCGAACGGGTGATCGGTCGGCATTGAATTGATTAGTTGTTCTTGCGTGCCCCTTCCTTGTGCGGCATCATGACAGCGCAATTTTGTTCGATGAGTTCTGTTTCGACCAGTTGGAAAAGAACAACAAGGAGAATCAAACTGGCGATTTGTAGACAAGCTGTATTTGATGTTATGCAGTTTAATGCTCGTGATCCATATTTTGTGGCTGATCCGAATACTTTCCCCGCGTTTGGCTGGTTTGATAACCTCGATGATTGTGCGCGAAACCCATGCCCGTTTCAGGGGAACTCAGAGGAGCAGGTCAGTGTATTGTTGAGTTCCTTATCGGTGCCAACTGCTGGGCCAACTGATCGTGGAGAAGCTTTCTCGTCTCATTCGGTTGCGTATTCTCCAGATGTGGTGCAGTCTCCAGATGGTGGGCTGCAGTCGAGACTGGGCTCTGTGTCTTTTGATCCTGGTGTTCAGAATGAGGAGTTGCAGGGCGAGGAGTTGCAGGATGAGGATTTGCAGAGTGAGGGGGTGCTGAATGAGAAGTTGCATTATTCTCAGCATACTGTTTTCTTGGATTCAAGCTCTGAAGTTTGCCGCGCTCCATTTCCTGACACTCTGTCGGCTTCTGTTGACCCAGGTGTTCGGAAAGAGGATTTGCATGATGAGGAGGCACGAAGAAGCCCCACGAGTCCCCGTAACCAGACGCCGTCTTGGTTACCGCCGGGTCGTAAAGATAACTGTGCATCTTCTTCCCAGCTCTATTCAGATGAGTTGCAGAGCAATCGATCTGAGTGTCAAGCTGCCAGGGACTGGGCGCGTGCCAATGACGATGCAGTTGCTCTTTGGCGGGAATTCGAACGGCTCCCGAAAGAGGAGTTTTGGGCTCGGATCGAGGCGCTCAACGCATACAAACTTCGAATGGGAATTGAGAGTCCCGAGGAGGCGCCGAGTCCTGAGGAGGATGCTGGCCGTGGGAAAGGCCAGAGGCACCGCAGATGCAGGAGGCGGGCAAGGGCGAAGGCTCAGGCAGTTCTAACTGGCTCTTCTATGTCAAAGTCGGCCCATCAATCTACTTGCGATCCTCCCCAACCTCCGTCCTCTTTTCACGATTCAGTTTCTTCCGCTCTACCCGCCCCAATTGTGCCCTTGTTGCCCGAAGGCGACAAGGAGACGGAGGTGGATGAGTTGCATAACTATCAATCAGAGTGCGATGAGGACGCTGATTCGGATGCGGCCTTCCACGCATGGGATAATATGGCCACCCAGCGAGTGAGGGCAAATTTTTACTTGAAGCAGGCTGCTCTGCACCGTTTCTGTGAGGCTTTGCGCCGTGATGGGGGGGAGGGCGCGGACATCCAGAGAACCTGTGGGCTGTGTCGGTTGGACAAGATAAGGATGCACCGTATTGCAGGGTGGTGCTTCGGACATTGGCGGTGCTTGACATTCTACTCAAGTGGTGCTCAACGGTTGATGGAACAACGCTTGCAGAGCCACATTAGGAACCTTTGTGTAACCTTTTGGCCTTAACTGTGGCCTTAACTGGCGCCTGGCGCTGTTCAAGACTTCAACTTTAACTTTCACTCTGCTTCGCCTGTGATATACAACGTAAACATGAACTAGTCGGCCTCCACGGTTTCTTCGTTGGAGGGCGGTCTGTGGAAGCATATGCTGCTGATCGGCTGTTGCTTTGATCAATGCAGTAAAACGGCATTGTATGGCCGTGGAACACGTTTTGGGTAGCGTTTCAACCAGCTCTTACACCATTCTCTAACCTGTTCCAACACCTTTGCATTCTCACATGTTGTGCTGCATCCTTTTCCTTGTTCCTGCATCCTATTCCGATGCCTATGCCTCAGTGGCTCGGCAGTGTGATGATAAGAGGTGCCTTCTCTAGCTACCCTGTGCTCCGTTTGGGAGTCTTAGGGCTCAGCTGTCACAGCTGTCCGCGCCCTGACTCAAATTCAAAAAACCTTCTTCTCCTCCAGTTCTCCTCCATCAAACCGCGCCCTCCCTCGCGCGGAATGCGAGATTGCCGCGCCCACATTGCGCGGGGAAGCTCAGCGAGGTCCCGGCGGTAACCAAGGTTGATGGGGTCAAAACGGAGGATAGGACAGCTTGGGAAAGGGCACTCCAACAGCATGGGTTAAACAGATATGCGGACAGCTCCCAGAAGGTTGCCAATGATGAGTGTGTTCAGAAGTTACTCCAGGAGGCTGAGGCGACACCTCTCGAGGGGAACCCGATTACCATGGGGCTCTTACTTCGGGCCAGGGCGAGATTAAAGATGGGGAGGGCAGTGGGGGCGGACGATATTGGGGCATCTCTGCTCAAAGCTTTACCTTGGACATCTCTATGTATGATATTGCAGGCCTTCCAGAAGCTCTTTGTCAGGAGATCTGTCACTTCTCAAGAATGGAGAATGCTTTGTGTCACGCTACTTCCCAAAATGAATGGGGCCCTTTGTTTCACAGAAACACGAGCCATTGTACTTCTAAGTGTATTCAGCAAGTGGTATAGCAGTTGTCTAGCACAACTTTTGGAGAGGCATGTCAGATCGATTGATGGCCCCAAGCACTGTCAATTATATGGATTCATGCCTGGAAGGAGAACCCACGAGGTGACGAGTGGCCTCAATAATATTGTGAGGCACGCGGCCATGTGGGGCAAATCGTACTCGCTATCTTGGGCGTCACTCGATGTCGCCAGAGCCTTCGACAATTTCACCATACCTTGTGCGGCGGAGGCTATGAGGTTCTCCAACGTCGACCCATATTTTGCATATGCAGTGCTCGAAGGATATACGAATAATATGGCCACACATCGTTTTCAGGAGATCGATACGTCCAATATTCCTTGGGACAGTTGTATCAGAACTGGATCGATGGAAGCCCCAATGTTGTGGGTGCTCGTCAGCATTATGATATCCGAGCCGGTGTGTACTGGATGGTTTGAGCGCGGCCTGGGATATCCTTTAGGAACTGTTGGGGCGCCAAACGACTGGAATATCACTAACATGTTATGGGCTGACAATGTACTCTTGTTTGCAGCTTCGGATGATCAGGCGACGCGGCTTTGATTGGAAAAAGGAGTCACTCATGTATATGATCACTATATCGCCAGACGCTGAGGGTAGCATGGTTATTCAGAATGTTGATCCAGCTGCTGAATTACCGCACGTACATGTCATGGACGTCTTGGGGGTAAGGATTGACAAGCGTTTTCGGGGGGATGATGATATACACCACAGGTGGGGGCTTGCGGAAAAAAACATTCTGGTGTGATAAAAGCTACTACTTTGATCGGTCCCTGCCGCTCAGCAAAAAGATTGCTCGATGCTGTAGTCGTGTGCAAGCGTGTTTTCTATATGACATCGAAGGGGCCACGATAGACTCCAACGGCCTCAAGTTCATTCACGCAAGGGAGGGGGGGTTATTGGCCAAAATGCTATGGCGGTCCAAACGACGGGATGAAAACTGGACTCTCTTCTTGACACGTAGGATACGAGCAGGGAGAGCGTTGCTTCATCGGACAGGGCGAGAGAGTCTCGTTCAAAGAGTACTCCGCAAACAGTGGGAGTGGGCGAAGGATATCTCGGACTCCCTATGTCATGTACTTCCACCTCCTCAACCCCTGTTACCCTGCTCTTCTACAGTTCCCACGCCCCCACACACCAACAACGTGCAGGAGGAGCTGGAGGAGGAGGTCCCAATGTCTGAGAATCGGCGACAACGACGCGCGAGGATGATGAAGGAGGCGAAGGAGGAGGGAAACAAGGGGCCAAAAGGAGTCGTCAAGAGGAGGAGGAGGAGGAGGACCCAACCCAACGTGCTGGTCCGAAGAAAACGAGGACCCAGTTCTCTGGCAATGCACAGAGGCTGAAAGAGAATCTTGGTCACAAGCCTGCTCCGCGGGCCCTGAATACGGAGAAGTCGGCAATCCTCAGCGCACACTTGCAGGCTCGTACTCTGATGCTCGTGGGAAATATTGCTTGGACGGAGGCAATGGACTTGTTCATTGATTATCTTGGAACCCAGCAGGCTCGTGAGATTAGTCGCAGCGGCGGTCGTTCGAACGGTGCTCATCGTCTCGCTTTCCACTCCTGGGCTGGCATCTTCGAATCCGTGGGAGGTGAGTACTGGTGGAGAGGACATCTTCAGTGGCCGGAGAAAGGATGGACAGCATTCGGTCGCCAGGCGTTCCGAGAGCTTGAAAGTTACAAGCAGATGATACCGTATTTCGTGCTTAAGAACAACAACATACATGTGAGGAAGGAGGAGGACGAGGAGATGTCCACGGACCCCCTGCACCCAAATAACATTGAGACCTCCAGGAGATGGGCAAAAATATGTGAAAGGCAGTCTACTTGCGAATTCTATCGAGGTTACGTTTCTATGGAATTAAGTGGGGGCTCTCAGGTGGTTGTGAATTGGCTGACGGGCTTATATAATACTAGCAATTCTACTTATATGAATGAAATTGCGGAGGTATCTAACTTGCTTTATCTTCTCACAACGACATCGGGGATTATCCCACCGAGCGCAGGCCATGATATCTGGAAGTGGGTGTACAGAGAAGGCAATGCGATGGCAGATCGGATGACTTGGAACGCGAGGAGAGGACGACAGGAGCGAGTTTTCGATTTGAGGTTTATCAGATAATGTCAACAGAAGACCATTACAATATCGGGGATACGAGGTGCCTTTGACGGGGGTGTCTCGACTGAAGGAGTTGGTGCAGGATGGGTATGTGACGTGTGCGTGAGTAGTGTTCTCCCAGGCTCTTCTTTTCCCCCATCTTGTGCCCAGCAGTGGTATGAAGATGTTGCTTTTCACTCCTTCTCCCTCCCCCTCCACACTTCTATCACGTCCGCGGAACTCTGTGCAGCGACTCAGCTTCTGAGAGGAGTGCAGGACATCATTAGGCTGTGCCTGTAGTGCCCCCTCTCTCGGAGCTGCTGGGATTGCGAAACTGCAATGCGCCAGTTGTGGCAGGACACCGAGCGGCGCTGACCCCAGCGCTACCAGCTCTGACCGCAAACCGCAAAAAACCAAGGTTGACGGTTTACCGCCGGCTCCCAGTCGAAGACCTGTACGAGGGGTGCCGGGGAGGGTCTTCCTGTCCCGTCGATGCCGAGGAGCTTTACGAGGTACCCCGCGAGGTATGCCGAAGAGTTCCACGAAGAACCCCTACCTTCGCTTCTTCGCGCTTCGGGTAGCTCTACGTGTCGATCGAGCAACCCCTAGCTCGTCGATGCCTAAGAGCTACACGTGGTATGCTGGCTGGCCCGGAGAGAGCGTCCGAAATGCCTTCTGGGAGGGATCCGGGTCCGCGTGCCGGGAAGATTGCTATCCCAGAAAGCTACGCCCCGACGGCTTGGAAAGGTCAGGCGAGGCCTGGTGGTAGGGCGTGGATGGGGGCTTCCGAAGGACCTCTTCGTGAATACCTCGTAGAGCTCTTCGGCATCGATGAGCCAGAGGAATTTCGGCGCGGGGTGGAGACAGTTGGCGCACCCCGCCCGAGCGAACAATGTGGGGACCTGGCGTCGGTTTTTCGAAAATTCTGAAAGATTTGAACATTCGTTTTGGGAACCCAGATTTTTATTCCCTGCAGTCGATCATGGCGCGTTTCATGGTGCGAATTTCAGGGCTGAAAGTGCAATATTTCGATCGAAACACTCGGGGGTGCTGACTTAATGTTGGCATGATGAAATCCATTTTTCGAATTCTCAAGATGATGCTGACAAAAAGCTTCCTTCTTGTGTCCCGAGCAGCGCCATGCGTGCAGAGAGCTCCACGAAGGTCCCGGCGGGAACCTGGTTGACGATTTACCGCCGGCTCCCAGTTTACGCGCACGTTCTGGGAAACGCTTCGAAAACGCTCTTCGGGACACGCGGCGGGGTCAAGCAAGCCTCGCCGTGTCTTCCTGTGCCGGAAGCCGGAACTACCTCAAAGGCCACCCTGCGGCTCCGGCTTTTGATATAACGGCCCTAGCGTGGCCCTGAGGAGTGATCCGGGAAAAACCCGGATGGCAGGGCCTACAGGGAGTGGCTGGAGAGCCTGCGAGCTCGCAGGACTCGATTCGGGGGGCGCTTGAAAGAACTCCTGGGTGGCCCGCAACCTCTCGGGGAAGAAGCTTCCAAAGCGCTTCGGAGAATCTTCGCGGAGAAGCTTCGGGACTCGCGTCCTTGGAAAGAGTAGGGCAACTCTTCTCGGGGCGCCACGGGGGTGCCTGCCCGGATGCCTTGCAAAAGGAGCTGGCGTAGCCCTGCCGGCCAGCTTCTTCGGCTCTTCTGGGCGCGATGCGAGCTCAAGCAGGGCGCGCCGAGTCTCCTGGGCCGCCGCAGAAACGATCTCCGGGGCTGCCCTGCGGCCCTGGCTTCTTATCGAACAACCCGAACCTAGCTCCTAATGGGCCACCCGGGAAGGAGCTATTCTGGTAGAGCGGCCTTGCGAAGCACTTTGGCCAGGCTTGGGGAGAGCTTCCGAACTGGAGCCGCCGGTAAACCGTCAAATTCCACGGCGTCTCCCGGCTAGTTGGCTCGAAAAATCTCGACGGAGTTTTTCATGGCATTGGGTCGGTTGAAAATTAAGCTCTCGAACTGACTCGGAGAGCTTCCCCAAGAGCGAAGCGACGAAGCAAGAGGGTAGTTCTGGCGCGCTGGCGGGCTAGTTGGCCAGAAAAATCTCGATGTTTTTATGGGCCTATTTAAAATCCATTTCTCGGAAGTTGAACATTCGTTGGAGCTCTAATATCCCCCCCAGATACGATCTTATTCCCGCTCGCCATCTTAATCTCAGGTCGATCGGGTGGATACTACTGTCAGAAAGCATGTGGGCGGGATCGGCTGTTCAGTGTTATCTTGGGAAGTGCTGTTGGTTTTCTGAACTCAACTCGAGCGACGGATGAGCTAAAGAGCTGTTCGGCACAGCCATCGAAGGGAAATCATCAGGCGCCCTAGTCTCAAGTATCTAGATGCCCGAACTCGGTCTGCTACCAGAGCTGGGACCAAAAAGCTATTCGTACTCTGCTAATTCTCTCAAGAGATGTTCATGGTTTTCTTAACTTAATTCGAACTGCAGATGAGCTACTGAGCTGTTCGGCACAGCAATCGAAAGGATATCATCAGGAGCGCTAGTGCCAAGTATCTAGATGCCCGAACTCGGCCTGCTACCAGAGTTGGGACCAAACGCACTATTCGTAGCCTTCGTTTTTTTTTTTTTTTTTTTTTTTTTTTTTTTTTTTTTTTTTTTTTTTTTTTTTTTTTTTTTTTTTTTTTTTTTTTTTTTTGTAAAAAAAAAGATATGATGATGATGATTGCTGAACTGAACTCGAGCTGCAAAAGAGCTACATAGCTGTTTGGCACAACACTCGAAAGGAAATCACCGGCAGCGCTAGTATCAAGTATCTAGATGCCTCAACTCGGTGTGCTACCAGAGCTGGAACCAAGAACTATTCGTACTCTGCTATGCTTCTAAGAGCTGATGACAGTTTTCTATACTTCATTCGAGCTGTAGGCTGTCTATGGAGCTGAAAGCACTTTACGAAGAAGAAAATCACCAGGTACACTCGCCTACGGTATCGAGACGTCTGGATTTGGCCTGTAACCGTAGCTGCGACTGGAAAACTGTTCGCAGTGTAAATATGTTACGAGAGATGATGTGCGTTTCCGGAATTAAATTTGAGATCTAGGCCACCTAAGGAGCTGAGATGCACACCGATCGACAGGCAATGCTGCGGAACATCGGTCTACTGTCCAGACGCCTGAGATCGGTCTGCCACATGAGCTGCAACCATTTTTTGTTTCCCCCCCCTTTTCATTTTTTATGAAAGCCGATGTTGGGTTAGACAAGCTCGGGAGCTTGGAAGCAGACCGCTGAGCAGTAACTTCCCTCCTCGTCCTCCTCCTCTTTCTCCTCCTCCTCCTCCTCCTCCTCTTACTTGTCCATCTGCTTCTTCTCCGCTTTCTCCTCCTCCTCCTTCTCTTCCTTTTCTTCCGCCTCCTCGTCCTCCTCCACCCCCTCCTCTTCCTCCTCTTCCTCCCCCTCCTCATCATCATCCCCTTCTCCCCCTCCACCCTTCCCCCTCATCCTGCTCGTCATCCTTCTCCTCTTTCTCCTTCTCCTGCTCCTTCTCCTCTTGCTGGTCTTTCTCCTCCTCCTGCTTCTCTTCCTCAGCCTCCTCCACCTCCTTCTCTTCCCCCTCACTCATTCTTCTCCTCCGCGCCGTCCTCCCTGAAACCGCACCCTCGTGCGGAACGCGAGATTGCCGCGCCCGCGTGCCATTCATGTATATCGCAATGAAGCTCTACGTTTCCCGGCGGTAACCAAGGTTGACGGCTTGCCGCCGGCTCACAGTTTGAACATTCGTTAGAGTTCTAGTATTTTTTCCATGGAATTTGATATCACTCCCGCTCGCCATCTTGATTTCAGGTCGAGAGCATCATTTCTTATCAAAAAGCATCCGGGCGGGATCTCATGTCGGGAACCATTTTGACAGGTGATGCCGGTTCTCTCAATTAAACTTGATCTGTGGGCCAGCCACAGAGCTCTTAAGCTCACCAACCGATGCAAAATGATCTGCTGCATGCCACTGAGTGCTCTAGAGTGGTATTGGATGGCTGAGGTGCGAGTTCATGCCGAATGCCTTTAGATGCATGTGCGAGTTGAGGACTGTATCTCGATAGTAACTGAGGGTGCAGGCCAGCTGGGGAGCTCGGATCCTCTCAGATGAAAGCTATGGCATGTCTCGAAGCAGTGGGAACAGCAGATGCGCACCATCGAGGTTAAATCAGCAGATACGATCGAATAACTCTAACAATAAGAGTCACGTGTCGGCTTGCATCGATGAAGTTATGGTCTGAACAGGAGCTGCAGGCCAGCCAGGAAGCTCTGGTTCTCTCAGATGAATGCTATGGCTCGTATCGACGCAGCGGGATTAGCAATAGCGCACTAGTTGAGTTGCATCGGTTCATACATTCGAATAATTCGAACACATTGAGTCGCGTGTTTGCTTGTGTCGATGATCTGTTCAACTTAACCGAAGCTGCATGCTTGCCATGGAGCTCTGGTTCTTTCATATGACGCTAATGCGAGATTTTTGCGCGTGCCATTCGCATTCATGGCAAGGAAGCTGTGCGAGTTCCCGTCGGAAACCAAGGTTGACGGCTTACCGCCGGCTTCCAGTTGGAGAAATTTTTTTTTGGATTCAATCCGACGTCGGTTACGCCGAGTGTTCTGATTGTAATACTGCAGCGGGGGACCTGACAATTTCACTGGAAAGCTCGGCATAACCTACTACAGGTGCGAAAATTCCTGGTTCTGAAAACGCATTGTCAGATCTCTCACAATCTTCAACAACCGACCCCAAGTTGCCACATTGTCCGCTCTGGCCGGGTCTGTCAACAAACTTCGCCCCGTGCCGGAACTGGGAGCCGGCGGTAAAGCGTCAACCTTGGTTACCGCCGGGGACTTGTAGAGCTTCGTTGCCATATATACGAATGGCATGCGCGCACAAACCTCACGCGCAATCTTCCGAAAACTGACTTCCATCAAAAAAGTACGTCCTAAGATCGACGATTTCTGAATAGTGCTCCTCTGTAGCCTTATCTCGCCTGTCTGGCGCCTCCAGATCAACGCACTGATCATTCCATCACGATTGA